ACGGTTAGCCATGGAGACCCAGTTCGCCAAGAAAATAATTGCAACATCTTTGACCCTAGCTGTTACAGCTTGCGCCGTTCTGTTGGCAGTGTTCATTAAAGGTAAGCACTTCAAAAAATTCAGACGGCTGCTACTAGCGTAGTTTTAATAATGATCTGTCATATGAACTTTTCAACGTACTCTAGAGTTTCAATTCTATAATTCCTCTCTTTTAATTTCTTTCCAGAAAGATCACTAAATTACTTGAGCTCATGTCAACGCTATCAAACCGCAACATCAAAATTTTATTAAAAAAGTCTAAATTTACCCTATTTTTGTATTAAACAGTCGATAGGTTAAAAAAGAAAAAGAAAGAAAAAGATGCAACCAAATCTGCAAAAATCTCTTCAAACCCGAAAACAGTCATAAATACCGACAAAGGAACGCTGTCCGTCAGACAAAAAATAGTCACCAAAACCAAGTATATCTTGCCTGCTCGTAAGGTCAAGTCGAACCAAAAGAGTAGTGGTGCTACGATTATCCAACAGATTTATCATTCCAAACCAAAGGCTGGTGATGCTGTGGTTATCAAACAGACCGATGATTCCAGACCAACAAGAGACAGTAAAGCCAAGTTTGTAAGAAGCAACTCCTACATATCAGCAGAAGATAGTGTCACTAAGAAATTATCGAATGAAATTCCTCTAGAATTATCTCTCGAAGATGGAAAAAGTAGCCAAAAACAGAAGGAAAAACAATTTCGAGCTTGTTTTTCACTTTATTTCATGGGAAATGTTAACAGAAACACCTAATGAAAATTGTATTTTATTTAAAAATAAATATTTTAATATACAATTCAGCAGATTAATTGATAGAACGATGGAAAATAACAATAAAAATATCTCATTAACATATAAAAACACGTCAATTATTAAAAATAACATCAACAAAACAGTCAAGACGAAACGCCAACAAAGCAAATGCATAAACAACAAATAGCCAATGCTTAAACAATGGATAACTTTTGAAAGTTGTTAAACGTGTAAGTTGATCAATAACAGTAACAAATAATTTTCTTCAGTTTTCAGTATTCAAATCCTACTAAATAAATGAACATGCGGTGAGAATAGAAAAAAAAATAATATTAATATACAAACATTAATTATACAAACATTCAAACGGCAACATACAAACAGCATACAAACAAACGTCAACATACAAACAAACAGACATCAACATACTAACATTCACATGCAGACATCAGCATACGAGAATACAAACATCAGAATGCAAACATACGAACATCAACATACAAACATCAACGTACAAACATCAACATACAAACATCAACATAGAAGCATCAACATACAAACATAAAAACATCAACATACAAACGTCAACATGCAAATGCTAACTTACAAAGAAAACATCAAAAGACATTAACAAAGATAGAGTAACTAACAACACTTTAATATAAAAACATTAATATATATAAATATTATATATATATATATATATATATATATATATAAAACTACAAATACAAAACCACACACCCCTTCTCTTAGTAACCTTGCAAGTGATCCACTCACCCACACACAAATGGGATGGAATTTCTTTGACTTTTTAACCACATTGTAAACTGATTAATACGTAGACATCAACGAAATTCAATAAAATATACAATACACACAAGCGCAAACACACACACGCTGACACACACATGAACAACCAAAAGTATAGAAGCAACCAAACTCGTACGTATGTCTAGTAGTACATATCTATATGTTTGTCTATATTATACATAAGTATGTATGTGTGTGTGTGTTTGTTTGCATGTATGTCTGTGTGTGTATTAGCGCTTGTGTCTGTGTTTGTTTGCGCGTGTGTCTGTGTGTGCTTGCGCGTGTAAGTAATAGTAATAATAATTTTTCCGTGATATTTATTAATTATAAGATAAGGGAGTCAAAAACACTTCCAGTAAGTGGAGGACACTACACGGCAGGGCCGCAGTAATCTAATTGAAGTAAATAATGATAATAATAATAAATAAAAATAATAATAATAACAAAAAGAAGAAGAAAAAAATAGTAGAAAAATAATAAAAAAATAATAAGATTAAGAAAAATAATAAGAAGAAGAAAAAGTAGAAAAATAATAAAAGGAGTAATAATAATATAGAAATAAATAAAAATAACAAGTTCAAGAAACATACAAAATTTATTAACATATATGAATAATATATATGTAATAATACATATATATATATATATATACATATATATACATATATGTATATATATATATATATGTTTTGTATATATGTATACATATATACATATTTATATTTATACATATATATGTATATTGTATAATATATATCGAACCTTGAAAAAAAATCTGTCTGAACATGTTGATGGCTGGTGACAATAAAATTTACATGTACATACGTAAGTACTTGTGTAACTATGTGTGTGAGTACGTGTGTATGTATCTATGTATGTGTGTGCATGTATGTACGTATGTATGTGTGTGTGTGTGTGTGTGTGTATAAATGTGTGTATGTATGCGTAAGTGGAGTAAATCATTAAGTAAATAACATTATTCTCATCTCAGATGAAAATTGAATTAATATTGAATTAATAAACATTAACTGCCATATTTATAATTTATTAAAATCAATTTAAATACATATAAACAAACAAAAAAACACACACACACACTGACAAACACACACACACATACAAACATACATACATACAAACAAACATACATACATACACACATTCATACATACAAACATACACATACATACACAGACACGTACATGCATATATAGTAATGCTGTTCATCTGTTTTTGTTTATATACAAACATACCCACATACTTATTGTACGTGCATCTATTTATAGAAAGAGAAAACAAGAAAGAGAGAAAGAGAAAACAAAAAAGAGTGAAAGACAAACATGTATATATATAAATAAATATATATATATCAGGAGAGAGAGAGAGAGAGAGAGAGAGAGAGAAAGAAAGAAAAAGAGAGAATTTAATAAATAACTCATACTCAAATAACAAGCAAATAAATAATTATGTACTTACATGCACATACACATAGATATATTAAAACTTGGAGAGAGAGAGAAAGAGAGAGAGAGAGAGAAAGAAAAAAAGAGAGATGGAGAAATAAAGACATAAAGAAAAATAGACAGAGAGGAGAGAGAGAGAAAAAGAAATAATAGAGAGAGAGAGATAGAGAGAGAGAGAGAGAGAGAGAGAGAGAGAGAAAGTGAGGGTAAATGATCATAATATAGTATAGCATCCATTTATGATTTCCATGTCACACGGCCCTCCAAGAGAGGCTACCGCCATTTCCAGTTCCTGCTCCAACCAGGATATCTCGTGACTGCTGTTGTTATTGTTGGTAACTATAATGTTGTTGCTGTTGTTGTTGTTGTTTATGTTAATGTTGTAGTTATTGTTGTTGTTGTTAATGTTGTTAATGTTATTGTTATAATCGTTGATGACATCGACGTTAACGTTAATTTTTAAACCATTGTTGATGCTATCAATCAGATGACCACTATCAATCATGCTATTTGTAGGGTTGTTGATGTTATTTATTATGATGTTATTGTTATTAACATTATTATTATTATTATTATTAGTGGTAGTGGTAAATGAGCAAGTTGATGATGAGGCCGAGATGGGAGCGATGACATGTGGCGGGAGGTGGCTGCCGGCGGAGTCGTTGGGATCGCCGGCCGAGAACTCCAAATTAGAGCATACAACCTCCGTACCGTCATCAAGCAGACTGCATTCATACTCTATGTCTCCTAGATCTAGCGATGTGTCGTCGTTGTTGTATACGATGTTGCCGTTGTTGTTGCTGTAGATGTTGTTGTAAAGATTGTTGTTGTTGTTGTTGTTGTTGTTGTAGACGGATGTGATGTTGTTTTGACCTCCATAGCGATAGTCATCTAGGTAAACTGTTCCTGAGTTGAGGACCATGAACTGAGACGATTTGATGTCGTCATTTTTGTCGTCGAATTCAATTTGTTGATGATGTTGTTGTTGTTGTTTGCTAACATTGCTAACGTTGCTGTTACTGATGTTGAAAATCAAATTGTTGCCGGCGTCAGTAGAAGCAGGCACTAACATATTACATGAAGTTGTAGCTGCTGTTGTTGTTCCGTATATGTTGTTGTTGTTGTTGTTAATTTTGATACTGAAGTGATCGTCAAACTGGATGACGTTGGAGGAATCGAACGCGCACATATCTTCAGAGGAGGAGACAGGGGATGATGAGAGACTGCCACCCTTCTTCTTACTCTTGTAGTAAGGAACGTAGTCACTGTCGTCGTCGTCCTCGTCGTTGTTGTTACAACCGCTTTCTACACTGAGCTTTTTGTTGAAATGATGTTTATTGTTGTTGCTGAATGATTTAGTTGAGACCTTCTTACGAGCTGATATGATGATGTTTCTGTTGCTGTTGTTGTTTACTTTTTGTAAATTCGTTGCGTGGAGGTTATGATTGAGAGATTTGAGGCCTATCATTTTTTTGTTCTGGAAGTTCTTCAAATGCTGCTTCATGGCTTGTGACGGAGCTTTACCTATGTGGTGAGTTGCTGAGAATTTCTTCAACATGTTGATCTTTGAGGTTGTTGATGTGGCGTTGTGGCCGGTTTTGTTGAAGTTTCGGTTGTGCCTCTGCACGTAGAAAACTTTGGAGAAGCCTGGTTATATGCATGCGATGTCATGTCATGTCATGTGATGTAACACGTATTATTGTGTGGTATGATGCAACATGCAGTGTGCGGTGAAATGAAATCTAAGTAAATTATCGTTCAATTCAATATAGAACGAATCCGGGACTTACCTCCTCCATCTTTTGAAGAACTCCCGTGCGGAAAACTCATCTTCTGCAGAACGAACCTGTTGTTCTTGTCAAGCATGTCGTCCAACTTCCACTTCTTGTTAGCCAAAAATTGAGGGCAGACCCTCCACAGCCTTTTGCCCGCCTGATCCTTCACCCCCTCGACTTTTTGGAAGGCACTACTCAGGGAGAGGCAGTGTCTGATCGAGTTCTAGGTGGAAGTTTATGAATAATTTTTTTGAAATTTTACAATACGACCAGCGTACAACGTTTCTTTAAAAAATTAAACAAATTATTTAGTTGAATGGGATTGACATTTTGATTGATATGTCTAATCAATGTTCATTGCACCAGAGTTGTCAGCGATGAAAAAGTTTTGTGTTTAACCAACTTAAGAACTAAACTCTACAAGCCTCAAACAACGAAATATTACATCAACAAGCATCAACAAACAATAACATCAACAAACAATAAAATCAACAAAAAGTATCAGCACAAACAACCTGCCAGGATTTGCTGGGCCTGTTTTTAAAGTAGGAAAACTTGTCTTGTATCCAGGCATAAATTCCAGAAACTGTGATCTGATTCTGCGGCGCCTCCTGCATAGCCATGAATATCAGCTCAGGATAGGAGTACGTCGGCTTAGGAGGAAGGCCATTGGCTGTGTAGTACTGTCTGCCTAAATCTGACCAATCACGATGCAGCTTTGTGTTGTGCTTGCAGTTCATTGGATGCTTTTGAAGGTAGGTATGTGGGTCAGTTGTTAATTGAGTTATATCAAGGTCAATTAACCAATCTAAGCTAGTTAATGAATCATCTATGAAGCAAGTTGATGATTGAGGTAATAGATCTTTTGGTGAGTTACATTTTGAGTGATGTTGTTCGCATTGATCTTGTTGTTGTTGCTGATGCTGTTTGAGTGCTTGTTGCTCTGATGGTGGCTGTTCTTGTGGTTGATGTGCTGTTTGCTTCATTTTATTTTTATTTTTTGGGGTTGGTTTGACGATCACAACTTCTTTTTCAATTTTCATTTCAGATGGATCTCTCTTGATTATAACCTTTGGAAAATTGAAATTGAATTTTGATAATGACGTTTTTACATCAGTCGATCCTGACGATGATGATGACAAATGTGAGTCTGTATTCAGATTCATGTTCATTGACGGCATTGATGTGTTTTTGTTGAAATTCTTAAGAACTCTTAAATCGAGTTTCTTCTTTTTTTTAACAGTAATATTATTATCCTTATCAGCGAGCTTGTTCTTATCAACTTCACTCTCTTTGTTCTCTAGATTCCACAAATCAGTGATCTGATTCTCGACAGTGGTTGGTTCCTCGTTTAGAATGCCATCGAGGGAACCAAGTTCATCAAAAGTCTGCAACATTATCATGAAACTTTTCGTCAAAAAGTTGAAAAAACTTCTCATGCCAAGCGAATTTTATAACAGTGCAGTTTAATAATGTTAATCTGGAAGGAAAAAATCGTTTTAAATGAAACAATTTATGTATGTCTCAACAACAATTTTCAAAAAACTTTCTACAAATTATAAAACTAAAGATAACTAAAAAATATTATTATTAATTTAATAAAAAAAAAACAATAATTTTTTATTTGGAAGACCAATATAATATCGCGTCTATGTCTGCATAAAGTTAAACTTCAAAATTAGGTAAAAACAATGAAACTAGTGAAAAAATAAAATATTTGATATTATTTTAAATTATTTAGAAACCTTAAAAACATTTTTTCATCGCAATTATAAAACAATTATTAATTTAAAATAACGAAAAATCATTTTAAGAAAATTCAAATTTTAAATGACAAAATTGTTTAAAAGTGACTACTAGTTTAAAATTCCAACACCTGGCAGTTAAAAAGATTTAAATCGAGATTAACGCAACTTCCGTTTTTAATTAACAAAAGCAACAAATTATTCCTAAAAAAAATTAATTTAAATCCTAAATCCAAAAATTCACTCAAAATTTATTTGAATCCCAAAAATTAGA